GTTTTAAGTCTTCAGTTTTTTTTTTTTTAAATCGTTACATTCCAACTTGGTTATCTTTATAGTATTGTACCAGCTCTGAAGAGATAATGAAAATGGGAGTCAGGACGTCAACTTAAAAATTTCCTGGGGTCCTTACACTTAAAAGGATTGCAAACCTATAGTTTCTTTACAGTTGACATGATTCCTTACTGGTTGTCAGGAAGAATTACTTGTATAGATAAATATGTAAAATGAAAAATACTGCATACTGCATTGCCTGCTCAGTTTACTGTTTCAGCTTAGTAATTAGTTCTTATTGCTGCAGAGTCTGTAAATTGTTTTTCTTTTGGTTTTATAACTTTTAGTACCCTTCCTGCAAAATATTTGGAGAAGATTGCTGACCAGATGCGCACTAACAGCATTAACGCCCTTATGGTTATTGGTGGATTTGAGGTACACCGAAATGTCTAATTATGTCTAAGTAGAGTAGAATTCCTAACAAAAGAAATAGACGATTTTAATTTTTACCCAATCTTTGTGTAAAGTGCAGTTGGTTATAACTATATTTGATACACAACACAACTAGTGTTTAGGATCAGACGTACTGTCAATCACTGATTCTGTAGAAAGTTGACATTCGAGACAGTGACTAGTAACTGCAAAACAGGATGTGCTAAATGGATAAATAAGGTGAGATAGCATGATAGTATTTTTGTATTAAAAAAAAAAGACTTCAGTAGTGCGAGTGCCAGTCTATACTGTATCGATACTTAGAACATACTTCCAGAAGTTCTTGACCTTTAGTAGTAATTGCACTGTGGTCCCTTATTTAAGCCACTCTTTCTCACATAGCACATTTCAAAATCTGTAATTGATCTAGAGAATTGTTTTCTTTTTCTTCTGTATTTCACGTTCATTTCATTTTACCAAAATAATAAATTTTTGAAATCTTGATTCAGGAGAGTATTTTGCCAACTCTTCCTAGAGAAGAACATGCTTATTTCTTCTTGATAAGGAATGAATCATCTGCTTTTTCCAACCTGTTAGGCATGGTTAGTTCAGGAATATTAAGATTTTTGAATGAGGAGTAACAGTACCTGAAGATTGGGGAACTAGTCTGCATTACGTTTCTGTTGTACAAAGCACTTTGTTATGTCTAAATTCCCTTGAAAATGAATGTTCTATTATTTGTTTTCAAATGTATACCTGTTTTTAATGCTTTCTTTTTTGTGTGTGTGTTAGATTTTAGTGGTTCCTTAATGCTTGGACTTGCTGAAGTGTGCTGTGGTAGAAATGGCTCCCCCTTTGGCCCTTTCCATTTTATCATTCCAACTTTGCCCTTACTTTATTCATTCTAATTTTTCACCCAATGCCTGTGCCCAACAGGCATACCTCGGACTTCTGGAATTGTCAGCTGCCCGAGAGAAATATGATGAATTCTGTGTTCCAATGGTTATGGTTCCTGCAACTGTATCCAACAATGTACCGGGTTCAGATTTCAGCATTGGTGCAGATACTGCTCTGAACACTATAACTGATGTAAGTCTATTCTGGTGTGTGCGCTTACTAACAAAGCAGTTCTGGTTAAAACTGACTAAATTGGCTAGAACTGGATATTTTTATAGACCAGAACTTTGGAAATGTAATCTGGAAAACAATACAGTTACTTGATATAGCCACTTTTATGATACCTATTTAAAACAGAGAAGCTTTAGGATCCCAAATGCTTCCATTAGGTTTCCTCTGAAAGGACAATGACCTGTAAATTTGTAAACTACAAAATAAGATGGCATGTATCTGTTGTATATGGAAGAAAGAAACCTAAAGCTAAGACGTGATGATCATTTATTTAATCCCTATTATATGTAAAGTATCAGTATACCCAGCTGTAAAAAAACACTGGGTGATTGTTGCTCTGTTCAGAGAGAGATCCTTATTTATGTATGTAACATATTTATTTCTCTAATAGAGAATGTAAGATCCATATTTCTCTAACAATAGGAATTACATGTATTCTACTAATAAACAGATTTTACAAAAAAGAGTTGAGACATATTATGAAGCATTTTTAAAAAAATCAAATCCAGTAATACGATGTAAATTAAAAATGGATTAATACTACACTCAGTTGGGTAGAAAGAGCATTGTCAAACACCACACAAAAGAAATTGTCAGGCATGTGCATTTACAGTTCATCTGAATCATTTCAGAAGCATTAATCCATCATACCTCCACTAAGAAGAGCAATTCTGTTTCTATATATTCTGACATCATTTTGTCTGAAACAATAACAGTAACATTACACTTCCTTTTTTTTCTCTTTTCAGCATAATCTACGGACACATATGTATTGCAGATACAGTTGCACAGTGTCCATATTTTAAAACACAGAAAAGACCTAATAAAGCATTTGTCTTCAAAATTGAATTTATGTTTTCACTTATAAAGAAGAAACAGAATTATTTCATAATTTTCTTACTGAATTACATTGAATTACCGTATTATATTACAAGTTCCACTTTCTGATTTTTGTCTCCAGCCATGTTGGATCCAGAATGTAGAATTTTTTTTCACTGATTGTACATATTGAGCTACATTTTAAAATGTAAAAAAAAAAACAACCAAGCATGGTGCTCATGTAAAGTGGGAAAAGAATTTCAAGTTGCTTTTGAAAATGAAATGTCAGGTCTTCTATCACTTAGATATATTTGAAGATTTTAATAACGATACTATTTTCAGGAATTTGAAGGATTTCTCAAATGCTGTCAACTTCAAGAACACTAACATAACTTTCACCTGTTTTGTTTTTTTACCATGCCAACATAAATATTTTTTTCTTCAGCAAAATAAACTCTTCAGTTAGGAAATTTCAGTTTCCTTAACTGTTGCCTTGAACAAGACTGTAAGCTCACTAAAATTTATCTTGAACATATTCTTTATAGATGACTTAGGTTATAAATGTTGATGTTTCCAGTTCTGGTAAATAAAAATATCTCTCCAAAATGATTGGTCACAGATTAAGGTGAGTAAAATGATTGTGCATAACACCTACTTTTCTTTTCTTCTTAAGCTTTGTTTACCTAACTGGCTTCTTTTTATAGATTATGTCATGTAGAGTGGGATATATCATAGTCAGTCTCTCTCTCATTGTTGTGTTTTGCTTTATACTTAGGTTTCTAGATATCATCCACCTTTGTTAGATAATAAAATGTTAGTATCTCCATATTTTCAATGCAGTAGTTGAAAACTTTTCAAACTGATATTTTTTTACTAATAGCCGCCACCTTGTTTTTGCATTTTATTTTGGCTAGATTTTCTCTGAAATAAATATGAAATGTAATGGCTTTGCAAGATTTAGATTTAATCCAATGGCAAATTAAGTTTTGTTCTTTTTTGGGGGGAAGGAGCAGATTTTTGTGTTGAGGAAACACTTCTGCTTGGTATCTCTTCAGTTTTCTGCTCTGATTGTTTCATCATGATTCACTAAAACTGATAATGAAAAATGTATCCTTTCATTCCTGTGTTGTATGTTCAGATCAGGTTCAATAGTGATGATGCCCCCTATTAAATGTGACTGAGACTCAATACAAGTCATACAATTGACTGCGGTAAATGCAAGTAGCAAATGGACATGAATGTCATTAAATCTAGTTTAGATCTAATGCTAGATATAGCATTTTTACTCTTGCCACTATTAAGTCAATAAATGCATCATAGTTTTCAATGCTCTCAGATTAGTACCTCTTATGAACACCAAAATGTCATCACACAAGTTTTTCTGTGGTACTGTTCTTACCTCTATGTTCTTGACAACTTTTAGTAAGGTAAGTGTGTTTCTGTTGGGTAATGAGGCCTTTGTTAGTGTTTGGCATTACTAGACAATGTCAATGTTAAGTTGTTTGAAACTTGTCAAGGCATGTAAATGGTACCTTAAGACATTTGCAGATAAAATGTGTTAAGATGCTGCACTTAAAAAGAAAAACAATAAAAATCAGGCCAACAGATACATAACATCTGAATGAGAGATTAGGCAAGAGTGTGCTTTTCCCTAAGTCATAAATAGTGGCTGGTACATTTCTCAATAATTAGAATTTAGATTCTATAACAGATTCTATGACCCTCTTGAAATGCTCCATTTTTTCCATTTTTGCTTTAAAATACAGGCTTGTAATCAGTTGAATAGTAGAATTTGGTTCGTCTTTTGAAGAGTGTTTCAAATTTATCTTATGCTGTATTTTTCACTTCAATTTTCAGAATATTAGTGAGAAAAATTGTCAATGAAAACTCCACAATATAAAATACCTGGGAAAAGCTGGAGGTTTCTGTGCCTTTCTATACCTAAGGGTGTGCTTAAGGCTCGTATATCTAGATATAGAAAATAAATTGTTTAGGATTGCAGGATAAGAACATGAACTTTGACTTTTCTGTGAAAAGAAGCATCAGTTAAAATAACTACCATAATAAAAATACCTATATTCTCAACTTCATATTGCTAATCCAGCGGAATGAATAGAATATTATTTCAGATAGCAGACCTCTCGAATGTGACAAGAAAGAAGTGTTAGTTTTTTTCCTACATAACCATGAAGGATAGAAATGTCTTTTTAAATGAAAGTTGGGTTACTTGATCAAAAAGAGGCACTAGCAATACATTTTGCAGGTGGAACTAAAATGTAGAAACCTACTCTGTAATTAAGCAGAATGAATAAAAAGTTAGATTCTCTCAGCTACAGAACACGGAAAAAGAATGGAAAGGATGAAAATTTAATTGGAAAACAAAGCCTATTGGTGGGCTAGAAGAAGCTGATGGAAAGCAGAATAAACCAGAACAAGGTATGGAAGAATATTAATTTGATTTAGGAGATGTAGAAGTAAATGGGGAAATGAAAAGAAAAGGTATCAGCTAGAGATGGAGGAAAATAGAACCTGAAAAAGGAAGATGTTGAAACTCTCTAATATGTTTCTTTGAGAATCTGCCTTTTCCTTTGATGAAAGGGAAGGGGGTACCGGTTGATCAATTGGTTTTGTGAGAAAAAGAATAGCAAACAGCCACAAAAAAACCCTTTCTCACTGAGGAGCGAATAAAGCTACAGTTAAGAGTGTCTTAATGCAGTCTCCATGCAGTTTCCTTTCCACACAGACTCCTGTACCCTCCCAGTGCTGGTACTAGCACATGTGGCTCCATATTAGTCTGAACTAGGAAGCTGAAAGTTAGCCTGGCCAAGCTAGCTAACCGATTAAATTATCATCCAGTTCAGTCCTAGCAACAGCTGGATGTGGAGCTAGGGCGGTCAATCCATCCCTTTCAATGGCCATTTGCATTTAGGTCAACATAAAGTCAACAAACCACGGTCTTTGCTTGAGTGCATGTATTTTTATAAAGCATCCTTGATTATGACAATACCCTTTTTAATTATTAAAACCACCAATCACTTGTTTACCCTTTATAATTATTAAGTGACCCTTTATTGAAAGCATTTTCATATTTTGCTGCAGTGATGCAAAGATGTTGCATATAATCATCTAATGCTCATGCTTGGTGAAGGTACAGTCTTTGGATATGTTTGCTGAAGTCACTTGCATCAAATAAAATGGCAATATTTAATGCAAGTAAAACATATCTTAACTACATCTTAACATATTATAATTAACATATTATAAATACAGACTAACCAGTTGTGTTAGTTATTGCTCTAAATCTCCCTTCGACTTGGTTTCCCAAAATTCTCAATTTCAGAGAAACTCATGTTTTGCAGATCTCCAGGAAGCCATGTGGTTTTACCAAACCACTGCGACTCAGTGTACATCTTTATTTTTCAGCAGAAAAAAAAAAATTCAAAGCAGCCTGACTGAGCTGAGTTGGGCTAGGCAATTACTGAAATTTTCTCAGTCAAGTCTCAACCACTCAAAAAAAAAAAAAAAAAAATCCATTTGTTGCTCTTCTGGCTATACTGCTTCTCAGAGCTACAGGTCTGAAAGTGCAGTCTTTTAGACTGTATTTCAGACTTAAACTGGAGATGCATCCTAGCACTGATCTTAATTGAAAGATGCACTTAAATACGTGAGTAGAGGTAGACTTTAGAAAGTCAGTTTGCACTTCATGCACCTACTGCCATATGTCCTGTCCTTTCACTGAACAGGATCTGCTTTATATAGGGAAAACAAGAGAGCAGAACTCTCGCAGGTGAATTTTTTTTCCCCATCCCTTTCTCCTAAGTTATTACTTAAATCAGTCACTGTCTAGATATTTGTGGAGATAGCTTGATAGCTATCTAATGATTTGATCTGCAATAGTTTGCTTCTCTGAACTGATTTGAGAAATTGAAAAGATGAGGCTTCTGTGAACATCAGTCCTTTCTGGGAGAAAGAGATTAAGAAAAACGTAACATACTATGTAATCAGGCTTTCTTGTGGAGAGTCATTGTGTAGGCAGTTTGAAAAATTGCCACGCATCATGAGAGATGCTGATTGGTTTAGATTAGGAAGAATTGGAATAATGTAACTAAAAAAATGTTTACTGACTTAAAACAGCTGCACAATCTTAACCTTTAAGTATTTTGACATTTATTAGGAACACCTAATCCTTTTCATATGATGATTTATTTTGTAGTATTTGGAATCTTCCCAAGGGCCTACAGCTGCTTTTCAAAGAATCTTTGAACTATACTTGCAAACTTTACCAACTCGTTCATGTGCAGATGTTCCTAGATTTTTCTGGGACTATGTCCAGTCTGTGTGCATAGAGGCAGATGTGTGATGTTGATAGAATCTCAGAAGGCATAGTCAAAACTTTTTTTTTCTTGGTGGAAATAGATGTGTGTCTTGACTTTATAGGATAACATAGTTTTTAAAAAAGAACTTTCTTTAAGCATTCCTTCAAGTTGTAGGTGTTTTACTAGTTAACTTTCTAAACTCCTTAACATGTATCAAACTTTATTCTTTAAGTGGTTTCTTGTGGAATGATTTCCAGTCTACCTTTATGCTGTCTTTTTCTGCCCAACTGCTTCAGACCTCTATGCTGGGGCACACTTCATGTTCACTCTGTATTAACTTGCACTAATCTTCTGCACTTCTTCAAAGAGCATTGTGCCAATGCAACCCCAGTGCACTGTTGTGGTATGTACAGGATATCCCCCCACTCCCCCAAATAACTCACCACTTGTATTTACGTGGGCCAATGGACAGCCAAATTTACCATCACATGCAAGGAGTCATTAGCAGAGCAATCCAAAGACAAGGAATGTGTCACTCATACTTGTACCACTGCTTCAGGCCTATGAAAGTTGTCTGCAGCTACACGAGGCACGTTCCCGCTTTGAGGAGTTTTGCGTACCTATCTGTGTGTTGCCTGCTACTATTAGCAACAATGTGCCAGGCACAGACTTTAGCATTGGTGCCGACACTGCCTTGAATGCTATTGTGGAGGTAAGACTGTGTATCTTTTAAAAGTTAAGATGATAAAATGCATAAGATGAGGATACCTAAAGACCTTGAAATGTCTCGTTTTCTAAAATAATTCATTTACTGTGGGTTTTTTATGTTGTATAGTTAAGAAGATTTCCACGACTGATTAAAGATTAACCTAATAAAAATTAGTTATGTTGGATGTTTATGCTTGGGGACTTTGTTTTGTTATCCAAGACTGCTGCATTACTGCTTAGGACACTGGCTTTTACTGAGAATAAAATATTTTGCTTGCTTTGATTTTGTTTTTTTATCTTACACAGTTCCTCAGCATTACTTAGGTGAAAAAAGAAAGTACATGTTTTATAAATAAATGCCACATTTATTGCATGGGCTAATGACTGAGCTCAGTGCAGTAGAGCAGCATTTTAAGTACATGGTTAACACTAAACACATGAATAATCGCATAGACTGCATTAGGCTTAACATACATTAAGTGCATATAAATGCATGCCTAGTATAAGCAGCGAAGTCTGTCACTGATGCTAACTAAACAGTGTGAGGCCAGAACTTGCTATGAATGAGTTTTCCATTTCAGTCAGAACAATCAGTTTTCTAGTTTTAGTCTGCCATAGCTTTTTCCCTTGGGTACAACTGCTATATGAACTCTAAGTTCTTTACTGTCCTGTTGAGTCTGCTGTAGCTGTAGCAAAAGGAACTGAGTTGAGGTCTAATGCAAACAAATGAGTAAACCTCTGAACAGCTGAGTTTTATCAAACCCCTCATTATCAATCCATGTAACTAATTATGAAGTAATTGGCCAAGAAAGTCAGAATAGAGATCCAGGGGTTTGAGAAATGTAGGTTTGTTTTCCTGCTCTGATACAGTGTTATTTATTTATATAGAGTGAAAAAGCTCCAGTAGGTAATTGAAAGAGCTGTGTCAGAATATATTATGGCTTGGTCTTTGGGAGATGCAATACAGCATCCCTGAGGTGAAGATGACCTAAGATGTAGTGTGGGTAAATTGTAGCAATACGTTCGTAGGCAGGACAACAGGTACTTTTACCACTCCATTAGCTGCTTCCCCCTTACCTACTTCTATAAATGTCAGGCTGAGTCTGCTAATTATGACTGAGACCACTTCTAACAGTGATGTGCCTGTACAAGTGAAAGCATGAAAACGCAATGGGAAAAAAATGATCGTATATATTGCTGCTTCCTCTTATTTCACTGTTTTTATTATTAATTTTAATTGCAATTTGTACAGCTTCCAGCAGTGCTCTCAGTAAAAAATAGAATGAAAATGGTTGTATCTACTGAATTTCATTATGGTTAGAATGTTTAGTTTATGCTAAAAATAGCGTAAAAATAAAATTACCTGTTGATTTGGTGAAGTTTTGAATATCAGATTTTTCACAAAGCCAGCTCAGTTCATGTAAAAGCTCAACTAGGAATGGAATTCCAAGGAGTGCTACAAAAAGAGTCACCACGCTGCCATGTTTAAAACTTCTGAAACCTGCATGAGGCATTTCAGCTTTGGCCTTTCTAGCCTATGAAGTAGTATAGGAATTAATGATTCTTTAAAATCCATCTGTGCCATTTTTGTATTTGGGTATTTCTGTCTCAGTCATTCTGAGAGTGCAAGAATAGTAGAAAGTTTCTGCTATGTTTCTTACAGTCAAGAATAGAAATCCTTCTAAATAAATCTAAAGTGAATAATCCCAAAAGCAACTAATGATTTACATCCTTGCTTAGAACTTAGAGCTTCTCAAAAGGCAGAAAACTTCATTCTACTACCAGTAGCTGGAAAAGTTTTTTAGAAAGCTTGGCATTTACAGATCTTTTACGTCTCTCAAAATGAAGGAAATCTTTGCGTGTGTATTTATTTCTTCAGTGTCTCAAGCCAAGATTTTTTTATATCATAAGCTAAACACATAGTATCCATCCAGTTCCAGGCAGCTTTTTAAAAATGAGTTAAAATTGGTTCAGTGCTGCATCTGCCACTATTAAAAGTAATAGGGATTTTTATAAATTTGTTACTGTTTGCCAGATGCCAGTATTGTGCAAAAATTCTTATGAAACCACATCTGGAATGGGAAATAAAGTGCTTGAGGACATTGTAAAATCCAAGACAGGTAAAAGAAAGTGTCGTTTTGAAAAGCTGAAGTTCAACATAAGCTTTTGTGATGTAATTTGTTATGGGGATACTTCCTGCTTAGGATAACAGAAAGCCAGTCCATATTCTGAATAAATTCATGTGAATTCTGTGCATGTGTGTATGTATACACATAACACGCACATATGCAAATATATAAATAAAACATGTATAAATTAAATTGCGTGTATCTTTTGGTAGCTAGACCTAAATAAATGCATACACCGTTTTTAGTCCTTCAGTGCATTAAACCTTATGATGTTGGAAGTTCTGGTCTTCTACTACGTCGTTTTCTCACGTATAAATTCATTATTTGTTCTGTGGTCTGTTAGATATATTTTTAAAGACCATATTGTTCACAATTTTAATTTCAGCTTGAAGTATTACTTTGTTAGCTGAGTGAAGGTTCTGGTTGTAAACATCTGTAAAACAGAAATACCTCAAATATTACAGCATCTGCAGTTACTCATTCAGAAAATCAGTAAGGCGTAGGGATTTCTTAACGTTATCGTAATTCAGGTTTCAAGATGATGAACTTCCCAGGTACTTTTATTTCTCATTTTTACTAAACAGAACTGGTGTAGGGACAGTACATCAGTTTTGCAAAATTCTTCTTGTCACCAACTCTGGTGTAACCTATTTATTTATTTTTAAGACAAAGAAGGAAATAGTATCTTTTTCTTGCTATTACTTGCTTTCTGGAAGGAAGATACATTATCTGATGACTTTAAAATAACTTTGAAGGGTAGAAAAACTCATTCAAGGAAGTGAGAGTTTGTCAAATAGCTTTCTGAGTATTATTAAAACTTGGAGATGCATAGTAACCTAGTTCCCAGGTTTCTACATTTTCCTAAGTTTCCTAGGTCCTACCACACTGGAGGTTTTCTCTGTTACTTTCTAAGTCTCTTAGGCAGTTCTAATAAATGTTGGTGTTAATTGGTGGCATGTAAGCAGCGGATCTCTTTGTAGAGATCATTTCTTATGCTGGTCAGAGTAAGATGCAAGTGGAGATTGCAGTCTTTTTATAGTAAGTATGCACCTATTAATGAAAACCCAAAAACATTTTAAAAAAAAAAAGCTCCAGTAGTGCTTGGATGAATTATTTTTATGTGGATATCATTATTGGAAAGTAAACAGAAGGGCAATACATGCTTAAGACTTAAGTTTAAGAAACTGTAACTGTTAAGTGTGGTTGGGAATGCGATGAGTTTCAAAATCAATACTAGGAAGAAATAAACTCTTAAAGCAAAGAGAAACTTACTCATACTGGAGCTGATTAAAAAGCTCCTTTATATCTATTAGAAAACTATCACAACTTTTAATTCCATGCACAAACTAAAATTAATTCTTGTTTTAGTATTTGCAGGAAGCAAATAAATAGGAGTTGATAGTAGCAAAACACTTTGTTTTGACTGTGGTGTTCAATGGCTGATTTATAAGAATTACTTTATTTGGTAGTTATTATAGTTAAATGGGTTATACTATGTTGGAATTTTTAAGGATGTATTTTTTATAAATTCTTTAAACTTTTACCAGTAAGTGACATAAAATTGCATGACATATGAAAACATAGAAATTCAGAGTTTTTTCATTTAAACTTACAATATCTTGTCTTTGATTAGACGTGCGATCGCA